CTCGATCTCTTGACCTCGTGATCCACCCGCCTCGGCCTCCCAAAGTGCTGGGATTACAGGCTTGAGCCACCGCGCCCGGCCCTAATTACAGTTCTTTTGGTCTGATAGTTGTGCTGTTGCTGGAATTTGGAAGCATTGTTACGGAGATTTCAACATTCTAATTATCCTTTAAGATGGAACCTTGTTATCATACCTGGGACTTCTACTGAATTTATACTGTTTCTACCCTTCTAGCCTTATTCCAGACAAAGATGGGATGTATTTTTTGTTTGTTGATGTTGTTTTGAGACAGGGTCTCGCTTTCTTGCCCAGGCTGGAGTGCAGTGGCGTGATCTTGGCTCACTGCATACCCCACCTCCTGAGTTCAAACGATTCTCCTGCCTCAGCCTCTCAAGTAGCTGGGATTATGGGGACCCACCACCACGCCCAGCTAATTTTTGTATTTTTAGTAGAGATGGAGTGTCACTATGTTGGCCAGACTGGCTTCTAACTCCTGATCTCAAGTGATCCACCCGCCTTGCCTCCCAAAGTGCTGGGATTACAGGCATGAACCATCATGCCCAGACTGGGATATATTTTGCTAAGAAAAGTTCCCAGTATGATTTCCTCATTATTGGCATGTATGTCATTTTGGCCACCTACCCCAGATTCTTCCCTTAAAAGACAGAACTGTATGTTTGTTTTTCTGTGTAGTGGGTTGACCACACAGGTGCAGCCTCACAGAAGAAGGCTTTCCGTTCATCAGGATTGGGACTAGAGTTCAATTCATTTCAGCACCAGCTGCGAATCCAGGATCAAGAATTTCAGGAAGGCTTTGACAGTGGCTGGTGCCTCTCTATACATCAGCCCTGGGCTTCTCTGCTTGTCAGAGGGATTAAAAGGTAAGAATGAAAACAAATCTGGGCAATGGAAGATCTTGGAGTGACATAAATTTAATTTAGAAATATGGATTGGAATTAGTTTTCCTCAAAAAGTAGTGATTTATAATACTCTTCAATAAATAGAACTTTTTTTTTTTTTTTTTTTTGAGATGGAGTCTTGCTCTGTCACCCAGGCTGGAGTGCAATGGCATGATCTCTGCTCACCACAATCTCTGCCTTCTGGGTTCAGGTGATTGTCCTGCCTCAGCCTCCAGAGTAGCTGGGATTACAGCTGTGTGCTATCACGCTTGGCTAATTTTTTGTATTTTTAGTTTCACCATGTTGGCCTGGCTGGTCTTGAACTCCTGACCTCATGATCCACCTGCATTGGCTTCCCAAAGTGCTGGGATTACAGGCTTGAGCTGCTGCACCTGGCCGATAAATAGAACTTGAAACAACATATTCGTGTTACTGACTTGATAGTAGTATATTTTAAAATTAATTTTAAATTGACAAATATAGTAGTAGTAGTTTTTGTACTGAATAGCTTAAAAAACAAACTGAGGGCCGGGCGCGGTGGCTCAAGCCTGTAATCCCAGCACTTTGGGAGGCCGAGGCGGGTGGATCACGAGGTCAAGAGATC